GGATGTCCATAACCGATGATGCTAATTGCTCAGAATGTAATGAGGACGATACCAGTGCGGTTCCGAATGAAGAGCAGCCTGAAAAAGGGAAGGAAGAAGATCCGTCCAACAGCGCTATCAGAGTGAAGGAAACTTCCGAAGCTCCTTGCAAGCAGAACTGCGAGAAGCCGGCCAATGCTGCCACAATTCAGGATGACTGCCGGACATCTGTTCTGATCAAAAAGCAAATGAGCGAGATTGACAAAGAGATCCATCGTCGAGCGCAGAACAAAAATATCAAAAAGGTAAGATTTTGATTTCAACAGAGACGAGCTTTTGGAAAATGCTCTTTTACAAGACTGCTGGAGGCATAGAGCACTCCAAAATGTGCACTTGCGGAACAGTTCATTTGTTCATTGTTCTGGTGTAGTACTGCGAGGACACTGCACCGATAGTGGTATAATCGTTTGAAATAATAGCGAATGGTGTGTTTAATGGTTAAGATTGATGTTCTATCCCGACAATGAATCAGCCAGTCCATTTGCGGTCCGATAATTTTTTAACAGTAAATTGGTATTGGCTAAAGAGTGGGGTTGAAAGAAGTTAAGTTCATTCTCACTTTCTTCTGAACAATCTTCGAGTTCTAGCCCTTGTTTACTTTTCTCCCCTTTTTATCACACGTCTTTTGCAGTATAGGATGCTTGTCATAACGGGCTATTCGAGTACTCGATGCGCATCCTTGAACGCTCTGGGCTGCCATCGGCTTGTCCTGGCCGAAGCGAAAGGTTGACAGTAATACCATCGGACTTTTTTGTCTGAGAACGTTGCTCTGGAGCATCGCACATAGCAATCGAGGCATGCATTGGATGTGTTTTCGGACTCCTAGCAAAAAAATGTTGCGAAGAAGCAGCGGAGAGTACGGCGGGACATTCTGCGTTTATGGGGATGAAGTTCTGGAAGAATGAGAAAAGTGGATGATTTCAGATTGATGAGGAAGAGCTGGCTCAGCTTTTGAGCAACGCTGATAGTGATTTCCCGTGCTCCTCAGCAGCGGCAGCTACAGTTCCTGCTAAGAGAGCAGAGCAGGTTGCTTGGCGATAGTCGGTGTCGTGACGTGTGATTGTGGCCGTGCTCTGCACTAATGTGTCGTTGTTGTTGTTTTGCCTAGGGTGTTTGTGTGAGTGTGTTTTCAGACCGCATGTCGCGAAGTACACAAATCTCAACTTATTTCTGCTAACAGTTTTGTATTTCATACATTACAAACGGTACTCTTAGACTGGGGACGTGTGCAGATTTAAAAAAAAAACAAGGTGAAACAACAGAAAGCAACTCTGCGAAACGTTAATTGTTGGGCCGTTCATCCAACTGGAAAGCCGTTAAAAGTCGTCTGCTGAGTGTTTAAATTTAGACGAGCTTCTACAGCTCATTTTTTGACGAGTGTTTGCTCGTAATCTTATTAGTCCCATTATTATTATTATTATTATTATTATTATTATTGTTATTGTTATTGTTATTATTTGTTATTATTATTTATTTATTATTATTAATGTGCCACTCTCACGGTTATTAGTGTCATCATTATTGTTAATGATTCAGCGTTGCTGTCATCAACTGCTAAGCAGTGGCAGATAACACTTCTGTCTTACTAAAGACTGAATCCGCCGGTGGAGCAGCCAGTCACCCTGTGATTCTCTGTTCGTTTTCGTGGCAAAAATGGTACTTGCATTCTGCCAAGAATTCGTTAGCTTGCATTTAAGCAGCCTTTGAAAGAGAGAGTGTTGACATCGTGCCAACAAGTGTCTGCTTTTGGCACTGGCTGCTGTGGTTACTTTCAAATACGTCTGCCTTATAAAAACTGAATTATTCAAGCATTTTATCAGGTTTTTAATGCGTTTTTTGCATATATGCAAATGCAAAAACTCATATTTTGACGACCCATTCTGTATGTATGTGTATATGTACGTGCGTATGTTTCTGCGTATATTTGTGCGTATGTATGTGTGATGTGTGTGCGTCTGTCCGGGTATTTTGGCAGGGAAATTGCTAACTCAGGAGCCGGAAGTGACGTGGCGCCAGTGGCAAGTCATGCGCGTGATACGGGCTCGGGTGTCTGTGTTAGTTCCTGTGTGATTGTGAGTATGTGCGTGTCTGTGTTACACTGTAGATGTTAATAAGGCGTGTGAGAACGTATATTATGGAGCTGAGTGGAAGTCGAAATGTGTTGCTGAGACGACGTCGAGATGAAAATTGAAACTGATTATGGCTTTAGTCTTGCTTATATGGTAAATAGAAGCACCTTCCCAATCACAAATGCTGATCCGCTGGGTAACAAAGGAAGCCCAGATAAAGTCTAAGTCTAAGAATCACAAAGAGGGAAGTCTGGCGTCGCTACATGTGTTTCATCTCTTAGCTGTAAACACAGACCGTAATTTGTATGCAGGTAGGGACGGGAATCATCAATACAGCCTCCTGTCCTTCATGTACTGAACAATCCTGTAACTGATTTGCAAAACGGATATGTGAAAGAAAAAGATCATTGGCGACGCGCACTGGGCGGACGCCTGCGATCATGCGTTTTTGCATTGTTTCGTGCTGTAATAAGATCACTCGAAATTCCGCTTGCTAGAAA